GCCACAAACAGGCCTTGGCAAGGAGGAGCCACAGGAGCGGAGGAGCGGCAAGGAGGAGCCACAGGAGCGGAGGAGCCGGCCGGGGACCTGGAGTTCCGCCCGCGCTGCGCCATTCTGGCCGGGCGGCTCCAAGAAGAGAGTCCTGAGGAACATCACGGCGTTCCTGTTCCTCTGCAACATTTCGGTAATCCGCCTCAAGCCATCATTATTTTTAAATCCATGCATCTCTTTTCCTTGCATTTTTCTCAAAAGCATGGAGGTAGCTTGTAATACAAATAGTAAAAGGTCAAAAGTAAATCTCAAGTCAGAGCCCAGCCTGGTCACTCAGGACCTGAGAGAGAAGGGCTGGGGATGTAGCGCAGTGGGAAGGCCCTGGGTTCGAACTCAGTACTCCCCACACTCCCACTTGGTGTGATGTGGACACAAATCCCAGGGCCCGGCTCCAGGCAGACCCTCTTCTTACGTTTAGTGAATTTATCAAGTGCCTGCTGTATGCAGGAAGTATACCAGGGCACACCTGTGGACCCAGGAGATAAAGAATATAGACAGATAGATACATAGATACATAGATAGAGAGAAAGAGGGGGGGCTCCCAATACTGATGTGGGCTGCTTTTCTGTGCATGGCGTATCCCAAAGAGGGTGCAGCAGCTCGGATGCTTAGGCTGGGTGAGGAGAGGGTGGCAGGTAGTGAGGGATCAGCTGTCAGCCCCGCGGGAGAGTGGGAATTTGGAGAACGCAAGCCTGGAATTCCCGAGGGTGGTCCAGGCCGTGGGTGGAGATGGCAGCCAGAGGCCGGTTGCTGCTCTGTAGAGCCCGGGCTGCAGGGTCTCCCATCAGTGGAAACCGGATTAAGAGGAAGCCAGCGAAGGGAGCTGGGAGGAGCTGGTGAGGCGGTAGGATGAGGGCCTTTCAGCCGCAAAGGCCGGGGATAGAGCCAGATGAGAGATGCAGCCGGGGAGCTCTGTGTGCAGATGTCACAAGGCTGTGTGTGTCAGTTACCCGCTGCAGCGTGAGAAGCCATTCCCAGACGCAGGAACTTAAATTACAGCCGTACGCATGGCGTGGCTTCATCCCAGGCAGGGCAGCTGGGAGTCTGCTCAGAGTCCTTCCCAGGCCGAGGGGCTGACCAGGCCGCACTCCTTTGAAGGCCTTGCTCTGGGGGGCTGGCTCAGACCCACTCAGCATCTGCTGGATGGGGTCCTGGAGACCCTGCTGGCTGCTGCCCCCCATCCACCCCCTACAATGTGGCCTGTCCGTGGGGCAGTCCAGCTGGGACAGCGGCCTCTTTTCGTGCAAGAGGGGATGGGTGACATGGATTGCAGATCCTTCCGTAAAGGGGTGACATCCTGGGGGCTTCTGCCCTTGTCCAAGGGGAGGGAACTGCACAGAGGGGACTCCAGGAGCCGGGGTCACTGCAGTCAGCCAGAGGCTGTCACGGCCCAGGAGCAGAGAGGGCTACGGAAGCTGGCAGTAGAAAAGAGAAGCAGGCCTGGGCTGAGCTCAGGAGTCCTGGCTACTTCAGGGGAGCTAGAGTGAGAAGGGCAGAGGGTGAGAAGGGGCTGGGGGCCAGTGTGTGGGGCCCATGGGGCACAGAGCACCAGGTTGTGGGTTTTGAAAATTTAGTTCTCCTTTTATTCTGATGGAAGATCGCTCTGAGAGGCGTTTACAGATGAGGAAACCAAGGCTGGGTGAGGGCTGCAGGGACAGAGAGAATGGACAGGTTCAGAATGGATGGGACATGTTTATAATCTTAGCAAGGAGGCCGAGGCAGAAGGATCACAGGTTGAAGCCCAGCCTGGGCAACTTAGTGACTTAGAGACCCTGTCTCAAAGAATTAAAAAAGGGCTAGGGATGGAGCTATGTGAAGTTCCTGGGTTCAATCCCCAGTCCTGGGCAGGGGCAGAGTTCATTAGGGATTGGCTGAAGGAAGGCTGAGTGGGAGGCAGAGAGGGCATCTGGGCATGGCGGTTTCCGTGGAGACTAGGGTGCTGGGGAGCGCCATCGGCCGACAGGTGTGACTTGAGCCCTTGAGTCTGGGTCAGCACCTGTAGTACCTGGCTTGCGTGGGCATCCTGGGGGTGTGGGAGCTGCTTGCCAGACAGATGTCCTTCTTCTCTTGCAGCTGTGGATCCCACCTGCCTTTGGCTGCCGTCCTGAGTATGACAATGGGTTGGAGGAGGTCGTCTTTGGCTTTGAACCCTGGATAATTGTGGTCAACCTGGCCATGCCCTTTTCTGTTTTCTACCGGATGCATGCAGCTGCCTCTCTCTTTGAGGTCTATTGTAAGATATAGACTGAGGCCACAGGAGATGGACAAGCAGGCTCACAAGGGAGCTCCCTGGAGCCCTGGGAGTGGCTGTGCTGGGCAAACACTGCCTGACAAAGGCCAGGCACCTTTTGTCTGCAGTGAGTGTGGCCGAGGGCTGCACCCTGTCCACGCGGGCCACAGATGGCAGAATCCACGAGGGGCTGCAGTCTGTCCTTGTTTGTCAGTTCCTATCAAAGCCCAACTATTTCACCTCCTTCCAAATGAGATTCTGTTTTAGAGCATGGTCCAAGGTTGGGCAAAAATTTCTCCAGTTTGTTTTTCTTACACAGCATTTTCTTTTTGTTTATTCTGTGGCAATCATTTTTTTCCTGACCATTTGTATACAGCGAATTAAAGCTGATGAATGGAGACAAACGCATGAGGTTTATATTTGAGCTTCTCAGTAGGTCTAATTTGTGAACAAAGTGACTTTTGCCATCTCGATGGAAATTTAAATATGCCTGGGACAATGTGTGATCATTTTGAAATTTGTTTTTAAAAATAAAATTTACTCTTCTTCACTATAAATCTATCCTTGTTTATAAAAGAAAATTTAAGGATTTCCGTAAATTAGAAAAAAAATCACCCATGTTGCTATTGCTCAGTTAAGGATTCCTTTTTAACACCTTTTACCCAGGACCTGGGATTCTTTTTATTGTCTTACCTGCCAGTCGTGGTTCAACATTTTCAATTTTGTATCCAGTTTTCTTCTTTACTCAACAGCGTAGCAAAAACCCGTCTCCCAGATTGCTATGAACTCACTATAAATATGACTTTAATACTATATTAGAGTCTATCATGTGAATATTTTATAATCAACTTGGCTTCTTATTGTTGATTTTAAAGTGTTTATAACCTTTTGCTTTTATAAGTGACTCTGCAAAAATAAACCAGATTTCTGCAGCATTTCCTATAGTCAGAATTGCTTTCTAGGATATCTTGTTGGCACCCCATACCCATGAGTTCCCCATCTATAGATTAAATTGACGTTGGGCTGAAAATAGTTTTAAAAAAGTTGCATCTGTACTGACCATGCATGGACTAAATAATACTGTCCAATAATTATTTATTTTATTAGATGTCATTAGTAATCTAGACATGATGTAAAGTCTGCAGGAGGATTCCATACGTTATATGTGAATACAGAGGCACCTTTATTTGGTACTGGGACTCGAACTCAGGGCCTCATGCTTGCCCGCCAGGTGCTTCACCGCTGAGCTAAATTCCCAACCCTACCAAGGTATTTATATAAGGGATTTTAGCACCTGTGGATTGTGGTGTCCATGGGGGTTTTGAGACCTGTCCTCCCTGCCCACTAAGGGATGACTGTATACTGAAAATCCCCAGAAGGTATAAATACCTGAAGTCTCTTGAGGAGTAGTGACATGGGAGGCCCTTTTACGGTCTTCCGTGACTGTTGGGAGCACTTGTCATAGTGAGCAGGCTGCAGGCACACATCCCACAAGGCTAGACGTTCCATTCCTCCACGTGTGCACCAGAGACACTGGCACGGGCATGTTCAGGGATCTTCACTGCGGCAGTGGTTGGGTTGGGAAGAACAGAAAACAACCTGAGTGTGTGCCGGGAGTGTGGGCAGGGTGTAGCTGTACCTATCACGGAGCGAGTCACAAGCTCACAGAAGTCCGCGGGTGCACCCAATCTGCAGATCTCAGCACAGGCGATCCTCAGGCCGTGAAACGGGCCAATGATTCCATATCACTAGGGGAACACGCACGTGGAGTTCGATTACAGATGTGTGAGGCAGGCACACCGGGGTGGGGAGGGGGGGCTGCATGGGACCAGTGCCCAAGTGGTCACGCGTGCTGTTCATTGCATTTTCCTCGGCTCTTTTCAGTGTATGAGATATTTCCTAATAAAAACAGTCGAGTGGAAAGTCAAGAAAGAGTAAGGGAGGACAGAGTGGCCAGAGAAGGCCCATTTCCAGTGGGCATCCATCATGCCTGAGGAGCGTGGCCAGCGGGGCTCCCTCCCCCAGGGCGATCCCGTGGTCATCGGGAAGCCTGACACCCATCTCCTTCGCCGCGGTCCCTCACTGCCGGGCAAGGGGCCATGCACACAAATGATTAGGATCCTCTCTTACTGCAGTGGGCTGACTGTGGTACTCTGGGAGGTGTTGGCCATGATGGCAGAACCCTCAGGAGCGGGAGTAGTGTCCTTTTGAGAAGAGTGAGGGCCGCTGGCCGGCTCTTTCTGCCATGTAAAGACACAGCCAGAAGCCTGCCATCTGCAGTCCAGAAGAGGGACCTCTTCAGAAGCCCCCCATGCCGGTGGCCCCTCTTGGACCTCCAGCCTCCACAGCCTGCTGTTGATCAGCCCACGGGCTGCAGCGTTGCATTACAGCAGCCTGAGCCGACTGCGAGCTTCTTTGGAGTGGGACATCCAGGGTCACACCTGACTCTGGTGGCACCCGGTGGCATTAGAAGAGGCTCCCTGACTACAGGATGCTGGCTGAAGCCTCCTGGGACGCAGGTATTGGGTCATATAAGCTCCTTTGTCTGTCACCATGAGCATCAGGCCTGGGGTCCAGCTGCAGTAGGATTGCTTCTGCCTTCAGACCCATAGCGTGGCCACCGTCGCAGCATCCCAGGATGTCTCTGAGGTCCAGCTCAGAGTGACTCTCTAGGATGGGCTCTTTTCGAGAACAGAGAGAAGCCTTGATCACACCCACACAGCTAGTAGCAACTGGACACATCTGCCACAGCGTTAAAAACTCTCTTCATTAGCCATGTCCTCCTAAAAGTCAATTGTAAAGAAAACTATCGGGAGCAATTTGGAAAATGTGAACATCTCACTTTCGGCCTTTGTACATCATGTGACCAGCAGGGGGCGCCACTGCCCTTCCAGCCGAGCCTCCACCAGGGTGGCCTGGACTTCCAAGGCTACAAGAGAAGGAGGGCAGAGTCCTATAGCTGTGTCTCATGCCTGTCACCACTACCACGCTATTCGGGGATTGACAGGGGAGTTCCCTCCGCCCTGTACTGGGGCGTGGCAGGACCGCTCTCTGGCATGGGGTGGAGTGGAACTGACTCAGGCAGGCGGCTGGGCGGGGGCGTGAGGGCACTTCTGTTGGGTCCCAGTGGGAATGAATGGACTTTAGCTTCTTTTCAGGGTGGGTGCAGTGTTTCTGCCCCAGGATGAGAGGAAGATTCTGCATGGTGGCTTAGAGACATCAATAACATAAGCACAAACACAGTGCTGCTAATTGTCTGAAAATGTAAATCAAAGCAAACCACCCACTACAAACCCTTCAGTGGCCTCCCATTGCTTCTAGAAGATCAAGCTCCTCCCTGCAGTCAATCTGCCTCTCCTTATCTGCCTCTGTTATCCACCTTCTTCTCCTGTCCATCCTGTCCTCTGCTGCTCCTCCCACCTGCCCTGCCGACTGTCCTACTGTAGCCACAGCAGTTCCTTCATGGCCTTGGGGGTTGCAGACTCTCCCGAGCCCAGGACCTTTGTACATGCTGCCTCTGGAGGTGCACATCTTGGGCAAGGAGCAACTCTGGCTCATCCTTCAGGCTGTGCACCGATCCCCAGTTCTGAGCAGACCTGTTAGTCACAGGTCACCTGGGTCCTTTGCTTGGTGCCTTCATCGACTCAGCTACCATCTCCACCCATCACTGATTCTCTCTCCCTGAATGGCTGCCACCTCACAGTGCAGGGCCCTGGCCCTTTCTCTCCCAGGGCAGGGCCTGGGCTGCCCTCATGCCCTCACTGCATGCATCTGGTAGTCTCTCGCAGGGCGTGGAGAAGAGCTGGGGACGCGGTGGTGCCCAGATTGTTGTGTTGCTTTCTCTAGACGTGGAGACCCTGGCAGGGACCCAGCTGCTTCCGGTGCCCAGATCCAGCCCTCCACTGCCTTCTGAGCACAAGAGGGCAATATGGGCCTGGCTATGAAAAGGAGGCTGGCAGAGCCAGGCACTTCCTCACCTGCTGAGCCAACAGGAAGCAGGGCAGGGGTTCCTGAGGTGCCTCCCTCCCGCAGCAGGGGAAGCAGAGCTCAGCTGGTCTCCCTGACAATAGCACCTGGCTGCCTGGAATGCGGCAGTTGTCTTGGGAGGACCTCCCTTCCTGAATAGGGTGCTGAAACCAGGGGTTGGCAGGCAGTGCCCAGTGAGCCCAGAGTGGGTTTGACACTGCTGCAGGGTTGTAACACAGGCACACATACATGCACACATATACACACGCATGTGGAGAGAATACGCACGCCCTCACGTGGTCTGCCAAGTCCAAGATTCACTATGCCATGAGAGGCAAGGGCCCTCCACTAGACGGCCCTGCAAGGACTCTGATCCCTAGGTAAGAATGAGATGAGGGGCTGGGGATTGATCAGTGGTGCCTATACCTGCCTGGCAAGCACAAGGTCCTGAGTTCGATTTCTAGTACCAAAAAAGAAAAAAAAAAGATTTATAAACAAGAATGAGATGAGGAGGAAGCCTGTCCTTCTTCCTGCCTCAGAGTGTGGAAAGAAGCCAGTCTTGGGGCTATGAGAGCCAATGTGGGACCATGAAGCAAACAGTTCCTCTACGAGGGGCCAACCTACTGAGAAAGGAGACCTTGGCTGGGGCCTTGAGGACATGGCTGAACTTGTACAGGACCCTGGAGTCAGCTTCCCCTGGAGTGTTTGTATGATCATCATGACTGTCGACTTGATTAGTAAAGTCTGGGTGTGTCTATGGATGACTTACAGGTAGGCCAGCAAATTGAGTGGGAAGACCCACCCTGGATGTGGGTTGCACTGACCAATAGGCTTGTAGCATGGATGGACTAAGTAGAGAGGGAAAGCTCTCATCTTCACCATTGCCTTAGGACACCGGTCTCCAGTTCTTCAGCCTTCAGACACAGATTTGCACCAGTGACCCTGCAGTGAGCACCAGGCTTCAACCTTTGCTACTGGATCCTCCTCTTCTCCAGCACACAGCTGGCCATTGTGGATTCTTGCACCTCCATGCCTAATAAAGCCCTCTGTATAATTATACATATATTTTACATTGATTTGGTTCCTCTGGAGAATCCTGCTGAATACACCTTGTTAGGGGACATCCTCAAATGTTCTTGTTGGAGCCCCGGGTGGGGCCGGCTTGTTCTGTACCAAGTTAGACAGAAGCTGTTCTAGGCTTTGCGGGCCATAGGATCTCTGTCAACTTACAGCGTGCAAGCTACTGTAGGTGACATGCAAAGTGATGGGGTGTGGCTGTGTAGCACAGGTGTGTGTAAACGCAGGTGGTGGTAGGACAGGGCTGCAGGAGCAGACTTTGCCGACCCCTGCTGTGGACTGAGGTTGTGGACTGAGCTGCCCATAGCCTACATGAGCCTGAAGTAGCCTCTGCTGCTCAGAAGCACCCTTGGGTTCCAGCTCAGCAGGAGCAGCTGAGACGGGGCAGCCCCAGCATAGTGAGTCCCTGCCCCTCTGTCCTTCTCTTCACAGCCACGCATGCTTCCCCTACTGCCTCCTAATGATGGTGCTGGGGCCACGCTGCCTCCACACAAGTGGCTTCGCCATTGCCAGAACTGCTGTCCCCCCGCATGCTGCACTGCATCCTTCACCAAGGGAAGGGGTCGCCTGCGCTTCCATGAAACAAGGACTCAGCCCCACAGAGCAGTGGGCTGGCGGGGGACTGGTGCCCACAGGTCACCGACAGACAGTGGCTGGTGTAACCTTTCATGACAAGCAACCCCCACAAAAGTGGGGCCTCTCTGGCAATTTGAAGGCACAAGGGTGACCCAGTGATCAGGGATTGTCCGTGTGTGGGCTGGCAGTGAGGGCAGAAAGGCTCACAGACTCTGTCCCCTGTGTCTGGCTGGCTCTTACTCCAAGCTGGACCCCTAAAGAAGGACAGGACTGGAGCAGGATGAAGGG